CAATACGAGTCCACGCTGTTTCACGAGCTCACATCCCTTCTCGGTACCAACCGATTCGAACAACAGCAATACCACCCTCAAGCAAATGGTCTCGTCAAACGCGTCCATCGACAACTCAAAACTTCCCTTATGACCCAGCCCGATCATTCCCGATGGTCTGATCACCTTCCCCTGGTGCTGTTGTCCCTCCGTTCCACTCTCAAGGCCGACATCGGATGCACAGCAGCTGATCTTTTCTACGGCACCTCCCTACGACTGTCCGGTGAGTTAGTGTCTCCTTAAAACACGCTAACGTTTTTCGAACTTTGCAGTTATGTGGAGCAATTACGTAGTGCCATGCGCAATCTCCGCGCAACGCCCCCTCGGGCGTCACCGGCCAATTCCTTCATTCTTCCCGAGCAGAATAAATACGATTTCGAATAAGGCAAAGGCGACAAAGCATGCAGTAATTACTGACGTCATCAATTTCGAGACCTCTCATTCAGCTGCGTACGGTCATTGAATAGTTATATGACAAGGCAAACTGGTCAATCAATGATCGACCTAGAAAGGTAAAACTTGATAGGTAACCTGAAACATGGGTCTAGTATGCGGGTGCATATGGCGAGGGGGGGGGAGGGGGAGAGAAGTCATCCAAGTATGAGAGTTAAAACTACATTGAGAACTTGTCCGGCGTGATTTAGAGTGCACCGCGCGGGCAGCATTCAGTCATGCCGAGGAGAGGGGGGGGGGTGTTGGAGACGAAATGAGAGGGCGCATATGGGAACAGGGTTTCGTCCATAATCGATCCCTACCAGGGTAGTGTCGGGTTTATCACGTGGTCCAGCTGCTTGCAGAGTTCCGGTTTCCTCCTCCGTATTGCAGCGGTCTCTGCAAAGCGCAAGAGACGCCCGGTCGCCGCCCGAAACAGGACCTTGAATGCAACCACTGGGTCCACCGTATGGCCCATGTCCACTAAGTGTTTTGTGATTGAGCTCCTGGTTACCTTATTTTCTGCCTTAAGCAGCCACTTCGGCATGTGTCCAGCTGACCGAGCTGCCAACTGCCTTTGCGTGCGTCCAATGTACTTGCATCCGCAACTACATGTAAACTCAAAGATACAGTTTGATGTGGCGTGCATAGGCGAAATGTCTTTAGCTGGTCTAACTGGGATGGCTGTTGTGGTGCGTATGAACGGCAATTGAGAGGCAGCATACGTCCTTTCGATTGTGCACCGTAGTCGTCGCTTGATCACATTTGACACGTTATCACCCTTGAAGGGGACGTAGATGGTCACTGGCCGTACGCAGCTGAATGAGAGGTCTCGAAATTTATGACGTCAGTAAATACTGCATGCTTTGTCGCCTTTTCCTCATTCAAATTTATTCCGAGAAAACATTGCTTCAATCTACTGAAAAGATGCCTCCCGGTCCCTCTCATCAAGTCGCTGGATCAGGTCGTCAAAATAAGATGCAAGATTATCCGAGAAAAGACTACATATGAATTCCTGCAATCATGCAGACAGACGCGGGCTTACCCTCACCGGCTAAGTAAGACCCTCGGAAAAGATGGCCTGCGGCCCACACTACAAAACCTTGACGGTCTCGCTCTATCCAAAATGGAGGAATGCGAATACTCACTTTCAAATATGCGCTGCCAGCTAGACCAGTCACAGCATGTGATGGACTCGGTGAGTCCAATGTGTTGGTTATTGTTTACAACATACTTTGTGAACTTGCAAGCTAAGATAAGACAATCGCCCCACGCTGATATAATGAAGTCGCTAAATAAACAACCCTTAGAAGAATCGTTTTCAGTAAATTCAGATATCTACATTGTTAACAGGTCGGATTTGAAACTGACTAAACTGCAAGTCGAGGCCCTCTCTTTAGGACTTCAGTTTTGTGTGCAGAGAAGAAAAATAGATCCGACAGAGATTGAGGCTCAATTTGAAGACCTATATCACCAAATATTAGAATTAACACCGACGTCAGAGGACAATGCGAGATGGTAGAAAGCGAAATTCGTAGATATCGCCTATCAATACAGAACTTTCCCGACTACACAACGCTCACTGCTAACTAGACAACACATCGCGGCACCAACTGACCTGCGTAAGACCACTGAAGTCGTTATCTCAAGACCTGACAAAGGAAGCGGGGTCGTGATCCTAAACAAGACTGATTACGTGAGAAAGCTGGAAGCGATGTTGAGTGACTCCAGCAAATTTTCCTCGGAAGCCCATTGGAAAGAAGAAACAAAAGCGCTAGAAGACCTCATTGGGAAAAAGGTTAAATAGTTACTTGAAAAGCAAGTAATAGACGAGAACATGGCTGCGTGTCTTAGGCCTGCAGGGTCGTATATTCCCAGACTATATGGACTGCCAAAATTGCACAAATAAGGGGTACCATTACGACCAATTTTATAAATGAGGAATTCACCTCAACATAGACTTGCCCAATGGTGAGTGCAGCAAATCGAACCAATCAGACTCAACCTTGCTTTTTACACTACCAAAGATACTTTCTCCTTCGTAGACGAGCTAAAGCATCAGGATCTACTGAATAAACACATGATCTCGCTTGACGTGCAGAGCCTGTTTACAACCGTGCTACTGGATGAAACATTTGACATAATTTGTGAGCATGCGGGTGAAACACACCTGCCACCAGAGCAACTCCGGGAACTACTTCAGATATGCACAAAGAATGTACAGTTCTTGTTCAACGGGCGGCTGTATCGACAGATCGATGGTTTAGCTATGGGCAGTCCATTGAGGCGAGTCTTAGCGGACATTTTCTTGTCTAATCTAGAGCGGAACCTAGCCCGAAACTTACAACGAGCCTCATTCTATAGGCGATATGTGGATGACATTGTCGCCATAGTAAAAAAAACAGGCGACGGAGAACTACTACTCAAGGCTCTGAATAAAGCACATGCAAAGATCAACTTTACGATCGAGCATGAGAGGAGTGACACACTGCCTTTCCTGGATATTCTTGTACGTAGGCGGGCAAATGGCTCTATTCAGAGATCCATCTATTGAAAACCCACGTGGAAAGGATAATAAATGCACTTCCTCAGTTTCGTTCCAATTCAGAGAAAACGGAACTTGGTTTTGTGTCTGTTCAATAGAGCCACCAGAATCTGCTCCTCAGATACAATCGATGACGAGCTTACATTCCTACAGAACGTTTTCTTACAAACGGGTATCCGGAAAAATTCATTGATAAATACCGCCATCCCAGACAAGAAACTTCTACGTCCCCTTCAAGGGTAATAATGTGTCAAACGTGCTCAAGCGACGACTACGGTGTACAATCGAAAGGACGTATGCTACCTCTAAATTGCTGTTCAAACGCACCACAACGGCCACCCCAGTTAGACCAGCTAAAGACATTTCGCCTATGCACGCCACATCAAACTGTATCTTTGAGTTTACATGTAGTTGCGGATGCAAGTACATTGGGCGCACGCAAAGGCAGTTGGCAGCTAGGTCAGCTGGACACATGCCAAACTGGCTGCTTAAGGCAGAAAATAAGGTACCCAGGAGCTCAATCCCAAAGCACCTAGTGGACTCTGGCCATACGATGGACCCAATGGTTGCATTCAAGGTCCTGTTTCGGGCGGCGACCGGGCGTCTCTTGCGCTTTGCAGAGACCGCTGCAATACAGAGGAAACCAGAACTCTACAAGCAGCTGGACCACGTGATAAACCCAGCACTACCATGGTAGGGATCGATTATGGACGAAACCCTGTTCCCATATGCGCCCTCTCATTTCGCCTTCCCCCTCCTCGGCATGACTGAATGCTGCCCGCGCGGTGCACTCTAAATCACGCCGGACAAGTTCTCACTGTAGTTTTAACTTTCATACTTGGATGACTTCTCTCCCCCTCCCCCCCTCGCCATATGCACCCGCATACTAGACCCATGTTTCAGGTTACCTATCAAGTTTTACCTTTTTTAGGTCGATCGTTGATTGACCGGTTTGCCTTGTCATATAACTATGCAATGACCGTACGCAGCTGAATGAGAGGTCTCGAAATTTATGACGTCAGTAATTACTGCATGCTTTTTCGCCTTTGCCTTATTCGAAATCGCACTTATCCAGGTCGGGAGGGATGAAGGACCTGGCCGATGACGCCCGAGGCGGCGTTGCGCGGAGATTGCGCATGGCACTACGTAATTGCTCCACATAACTGCAAAGTTCGAAAAACGTTAGCGTGCTTGAAGGAGACACTAACTCACCAGACAGTCATAAGGAGGTTCCGTAGACAAGATCAGCTGCTGTGCATCCGATGTCGGCCTTGAGAGTGGAACGGAGGGACAACAGCACCAGGGGAAGGTGATCAGACCATCGGGAATGATCGGGCTGGGTCATAAGGGAAGTTTTGAGTTGTCGATGTAAGCGCTTGACGAGACCATTTGCTTGAGGGTGGTATTGCTGTTGTTCGAATCGGTTGGTACCGAGAAGGGATGTGAGCTCGCGAAACAGCGTGGACTCGTATTGGGATCCGCGGTCAGTGGTGACAGTCGCAGGAACTCCAAAATTAGACACCCAATGAGTCAGAAATGCTTTTGCTACGATTTCGACACTGATGTCCGGAATGGGCGCAGCAACAGGCCACCGAGTAAACCAGTCAATGCTTGTCATCATATAGGCAGAACCGTTAGATGTTGGAAGCGGACCTACCAGGTCAATGTGCACATGACTGAAACGTGCATCAGAAGTGGCGAAAGTTCCTGGCCGATGCGTTTTGGCGCGCTGACATGGTAGACAGGTTCGGGCCCAACGCCGTACATACCGGTTGATGTTGAGCCAGACGAATCGGTCAGTGATGAGTTTGACTGTCGCCCGGACTCCACGGTGGGATAGATTGTGAAGAGCGTTGAACACTTGTCGTCGTAAAGTTGCTGGGACAAAAGGACGTTCGTGTCCGGTAGAAAGGTCACACGTCATGGTGCCAGTGTCAGTGTGAAGGGGGACATCTTGAAGGCGTAAAGAAGAGTTCTCGTGGCGGTATTGGGAGAGTTCGTCATCCGATGGTTGAGCATCAGTTGTGAGCGTGAGCTCTATGGCGTCTGTTGTGACGGAAGCCATCTCGATTCTTGAGAGAGTATCAGAATATATTCACTTGTTCTTATTATTAGAGAAATGTGCGCCCACCATATGGATTGTGCAGTAGACAGAATATAGATGCCAGTTTCAGATATGCCTAAAATTGTCTCCTGCGTAAAAATGACCCGTTTTGTACTATTGCTCGAGTAAAGACCCTCGATACTTGTCATAATTTGAATATTTCGATAAAGATAAGCAAAAAACCCTCGTATTTCGTGAGGTCAAAAATACTGTAAATCACAGCACGCCAGAAAATTTATTGGGTCTCAGCGTCACCAGAAAGCATAAAATATTTTTACCGCTGGATATTCACCCAGCTACACAGAAAACGTGATAAATATGATTGTATTTCCTAGTCACATGGCGTTATGAAAACGCTTTTTTCTATGACTTCCCTATCCTCGAAACAGTGCAAAATAAACCTCGATGCAGTCATCTACATAGTCAGAAAAATTACATCAATTTCTTGTGATACCAGTTTGTTCATTTTGACGCACCTATGAAAAACTCGACGCCTCAGTGGGATTCAAACGCACTGCAGCGAGGCTAAGACTTTAGTACAGCCAACGCTCTAACCATCTGAGCCACGAGGCCCCACTGTAAGCCGTAAATTTAATTACATGTGAGTCAAGTTACCCGCCCAGCTTTGTCGTCACGATCACTGGCCCTACTGGTTTGTGGCTGGCTAGGATTTCGACGCCTTCACTTCGTTTGTTGTCTGGGGCTGGAGTTGTAGCAGCCGCTGCAGTCCCTCTTTTCTCCGGCTCCTTTTTGCCGATCGATGGCCGCGACAATCATTGACAGGCCGCTGACACACGACCACCCACACAGTCTAGAATTGGGGTCCCCCCTTCCCAACTGCATTGACTGCCGCACACTAAAGATCGGTGTGCGCCCATTCCTGATTGATAAATACCCGATCTGCAGCGACAGAGAATGACAGGTGGCGAGACTCTGATGAACTTCGGTTCGATGAAGTGCTTGTGACCCATCTGGTGTACCCGGTGGTGAATTAACTGCGCCAGGTGCGTCTGTGCGCATGTTTGTGTTTCTGGTCCCAGCTGCTGGTGGTCAGGGTTATGATTGGCTGAATGAAGGTACAATAAGCCCGAAACAGTGCTGTATCAATCTACCCGCATTCTCTGTCGTCCCTCCTCGCTGCTATTATGACTTGGCCGACTTCGGCCTGGTAATTGGTTGCCTGTTCGTGACCTTTGCCACCCATACGTAGCTTGTTTGCTTCGTGAAGACATTAGGTCGGTGTGCGCCCATTCCTGATTGATATATATATATATATATATCTATATCAAGCGAATACTTTCAGAAATTACTCAGTGCACGACTTGGAGTTAAATCTCCGGGACATGACTTTTTAGGGTCAGAACCGAAATTTCAATGAACATTAGAGTCAAAGACAACCAACTACTGTGGAACAACCACGTAATGCCCATTATACAAACAAGTAGTACTACGAGTAGTATGAAATCCACATAGTAAAGGTATTATACCGTACTCTCGACGTAGATACATGCTAAAAACCCAGACACGTGTTTTGCCGATATTCTGCCGCTGTGTGACACAGCCGCGAGGGGTTCGGCTCTTCAGTGGGACCCCCAGCGTTCTCTAGCGGCTTCTGATTTATTAACTGCAGAAAATAATCAAGCGAATAATTTCCGAAATTACTCGGCGCAGAACTAGGAGTTAAATCTCCGGGACATGACTTTTTAGGGTCAGAACCGAAATTTCAATGAACATTCGAGTCAAAGACAACCAACTACTGTTGAATAACCACTATATGGATTTCACACTACTCGTAGTACTACTTGTTTGTAGAATGGGCATTACGTGGTTATTCCACAGTAGTTGGTTGTCTTCGACTCTATTGTTCATTAAAATTTCGGTTCTGACCCCAAAAAGTAATGTCCCAGAGATTTAACTCCAAGTCCTGCATTGTGTAATTTCTGAAATTATTCGCTTGATTATTCTCTGAAGTTCATATACCAGAAACCGCTATAGAAGGCTGGGGGCCCCACTGAAGAGCCGAACCCCTCGCGGCTGTGTCACACAGCGGCAGAATATCGGCGAAACACGTGTCTGGGCTTTTGGCAAGTATCTACGTCGGGACTACGGTATAATACCTTATATATACATATAAATATACCGTACTTCCGATATAAGTACTAACTAATATATATAGGCAGAGTAACATTACCGACAAAGACAAGGGCGATTGGAATTGGGAACACCCCTCTATCATCGTATGTTTCCTATGACAACCGCCAAGACAACGAGTCAGTGGCTCAGTGGTTAGGATCGTTGGATTCTTAACCAACCGGTCGCTGGATTGAGCTCCAGTTACTTCACACATTGAGTGGTTTGGTATAACTGGCTGACGATCACTAATAGGCCAGAAATAGTTATTCCAGTCTCCCATGTCTTTGTCGATAATGCTATTCTGCCTATACTACTCGCCGCTGTGCGGCTGCGCGTTGGACTCGAGAGAGAAACTTAAAGGAAAGCGCGTCGAGTATGCATCGTAACACAAATGTTGAACGTCCCTCCACCATTATATATGTAACCTTGAAAAACGGTACCCCTCTGATGTCTGCACCTGGTTATGGGCTTCGGAAATGATTTGTTCGACATTATGTTCTCCATTTTCACTTCGAACTGTTAAGCCGAACGTTTGGCTATCAAGCTTGTAAATGATACTAGGCCAGATGTGGATATATAGCCCCATCTGAAGTAAACAAACTCCAACGATCTGTAATGCGGGATCGGCGGTAATAGGGGCTTTTACAAGTGGGGCCGGCGAACGCACAGGCCACGAGGTCAAGTAGTCGTATGCAAAAGAAAAGCTATTAAAAGTGCGCGGTTGTACTTTGAGTGGTTGAGAAACAGCTGCCCTAACCCTTAACCCTAACCCCAATTCCAACACAATTGTGTTCATCAGGTGAGGCTACATAACCATATCTTACCTGCTATTTTTGCAAATATGCTTTACGTACTTATTTGCGTGGTGGCAGCGTACGGGAAAGTGCCGCAGGGCTTTACTTATATGGACATTTTCCGGCACTTTGACAGTTAAGGTTCAGAGGAAAATGTTCAGTCCAATAGTGTACGCTAACATGAGATACCGGTGTTGAAGGCTGGTTTTGCTGGTATCGTTCTCTCAAGCATTACGAATAGCATTCAAAAAGTCGATATAAGGCATTGGTTGGTTGTATTTCGATTAAACTTATACGTATTCATTCGTAAACTGCGCGCATAGTTATAGTTTTGCTTTGCACTGTCGACCAGCCCCTTATGGGCTGTCATATTTTAAGATTAACGCCCAAGTGACTGTTATTTTCGAACAATGCTCAATTTGACACATGCAACTTTGAGGTTGAAAGTGTCTGTTATTATCTTCAAGTAAAGCAGAAATACTTACAATACTGCTACTACGCGCAGAAGGAGTTGAGTAAAGAAAAAACCAAGCGAATGCAAGGAGGAATAGCGACTGAGGTGGTCATTTCTGGCTTTTCAAACGCCGTCACTCAGCCGGATCTCACCTCAGGTTTGAATAAGTTGGGACTCAAACCTTGATCCTAGCGCTCTACCACTGAGCCAGGAGACCATTCTTTAGGAACTGTTAAAGACCGCTGTAAGACCATTCACCACTCAGGTTACGCTGTACGTTCGTCCGAGGTGACTGCTTACAAGGGCGCTTGAATAAGTCCCAAGACTAACAGCTGCGACTTTGTCCAACGATCTGACAGATTTATGCTCCTGCGACGAGTGTTAATCCAAATTAGACAATTAAGTTGATTTGAAGGCATTATGAGGATTGTGTTGCGACGAAAGCGTCGCGCGAGTACATCAGCACTTAATGCTGCACCAGTGTGTAAACAATTCCACCGCCGATCACTCATACACTGCAGGATTGAAAATTTTTGTCTACACGCAAACGCAAGGTTTAAGAGTTTGGAGGTCGTTACGTTCCACGATTAGGCAAAACCCCACATTTGGCTTTATCAGCGGAAGTTTTGAGAACCCTCGGATGTTACGATTATCTTTACTTTCGTAGGGGGGGGGGTTTGTAAATTTGACTTGCGATTCTGGATCGGAGTATGATGTTTCACTTTCCTGTAATATTCCGGACTAAAGACCTCAAAGACGGTCTCGTAACTGCTTGAGGTGAAAAATGGACATTGCTTCTCAGAAGACTGACTGATACTGACTGACCTTTCAAGTGATGCTATAGGCAAAAACGTAGAGCGTTCATGACCCTTTAGAATATGTTTCCCGAAATTTTGAGAATTCCTCAAGGGTGGAATTCGAACTGATACAGATGTTCTTACTCATAGTTGGTCCTTTCGAAATGCAGACCTGTGTTATGTAAGTTCTGTAAATAATCAGATTCTGGGCTAGGGTCCAAAAGCTGCATAAAGTTGCCAAAAATGTTAAAACCCATAAGAGAAGTGGTGCTAAGCGAGAGAAATAACTTTTACATTATTCTAAAATAGTAAATAGCCCCGGAATGCATAATTAGACCTACAGTCATTGAACAAATTTTAAGAAAACACAGTGACGTTTTCTAGATTTAAGAATGTCTTGAAAATTTAGTGATGAATAGTCACGTAAAAGATTTTTACGACCAGTGAGCAGTCTCATAAAATGTTACCTGAAATTTCGAAAGGCGTCTTTCTTTGTTGGGAATGTAATATTGATTAGTTTGCATTATGATCTTAAGATGTTTCTGTTTCACCGGAATGCTGGCTTTTAAATGCATTTTTCTGGCCACCTGTAAAGTCTGCACTCAGTAGAAAGTGACTAGGTAGGCAATATGGACATTTCGCATTGAGTTTTGATACCCTGATTGATCCAAGTATTTTTTTGAGAACCTGAACGGCAAATCAGGCCTTTCTTAGGATTTAACATGAAAAATTGCGTTTTGGTTTTAGAAAGATTAGTTGTTGCAATATTTTTTATGACAGTGA